TCTTCCTAATGCAGCGAAATGCTTTCAAAAGATGGATCTAGTTTAATACCCATGAGTTCATTTTTAGAAGTTACTATTTGTCCATTAATGGCATTCTTGCAAAGCTGCAGTCCACCCATTGAGAATGTGAAGAGCTTGCATTAAATTTGATTTGCAGTCAGTTCATGCCTCTCTTCTCCGGATCATCTCATCTTGGCCCTGCTATTTCAACTGTGATATTTCATGTCTTTGCTCAAGAAGCATTGAAGTGTTTAGATAGGAAGTTTTGAAAAATGTTTCACTGCATAATCTTGCATCTCTGCATTGTACAGGAATCTGTATCTTTGCTGATATAGATGGGTTTCATGGTTTAGCCCCAGCCGGCAACCAGGAAGTCCTTCGATCACCTCCCCCCCCAGTGGTGGGATGGGGGGAGAATCGGAAGAAAAAGGCTATTCTATTCTATCTCAGCTGGTTAGACTATTTTAAAAGTACTTGAGTGGATTTATTCATTGATGTGATCTAGTGAGAATCTGACATATTAGGAAGAGTAAGTTGTTTAGAATCTAGAATGAAAAACAAGAGTTGGGGTGGTTTTTTTGCATTCAGCTTCAATAACTAAATTTTAAGAAAGTATAGTATTTTGGGAAAAACAAAAGATGTGTTAGAGACTTTCAGAAGGGCATTCATTCAGGAAAAGATTCCTGGGGAATTCAACATGTGATAATTTGGGACACGAAGTCCATGTCTTGCAAGTTATTTATTATCAAGTGTATATATCTGAAGGACTGAAAATTTGGAAAGCTGTGTAGAACTGGGTAATTTTGAACAAAATAATGTGATGCATTGATTAACTTTGGAAATTATCCACAGACAATAGCATTGCTTTAATTCATTTATAATTAATAGATTAAACCACATAGGTCCTGATCCTTGTGTGTCATGCAGTCACTGTGTCTTCATGGATCTCAGCTGATATCTGCAGATTTCATTGCATGAATCTTTTACAAATTTCTCAGTCTTAAAATGGAGAGTAATACTGGCCTAATTTATAATGGGTTGATAGGTTTAGTTAATCATTAATTTTATAGAGCATTGAGTTCCTTTTGTAGGGGGTGCAAAATAAATGTAGATGAGTTTATACTTCAGAAACAATTTCTTTGGAGATTCTGTTGATAAATCTATCATGGTAGTGATCACCATTTGGGAGAGAGGAGGTTGGATCACAGCTCTCTAGTTCTTCCAAGCTCTTTAAAGTGAATGGCAGCAGATGGGAAAAAAGAAAATGTGGATTTCCCTGGTTTAGCATCTCAATACTCTTCCTGGAGGAATTATTTCTGACTTTTTTTTTTTTTGTTTCCTCAGGTTGGAGGTCACACAATGCTGCCTATTCGTTGGATGCCTCCAGAAAGTATCATGTACAGGAAGTTCACCACAGAAAGTGATGTCTGGAGCCTGGGGGTTGTATTATGGGAAATTTTTACCTATGGCAAACAGCCATGGTATCAGCTCTCAAACAATGAGGTGTGTGTTACATTTTCAAATTGCATGAAGGAGGGTGGCATTTTAACTGATGGTATGGTTTCTCTGGGGAAAGGACAATAGCAAATTTATTTAGTAAAAGCAATAACCCTGATATGTATTTATGGTATTGTCGCAAACTTTGTGGTTGAAGTTCTTTTTCACCCTAATCTCCCCAAGGTGGATGGAAGTTATTCAAGTAGGACTACACCAAGTTGGGATGTAGCTTCTTTCTTTGTATAGGATAGTCTGCTCTATCTAGTGTTGAGAAAGACCATGAGGCAATAAAAAGGAGCTTACCTGTCTCCCAAACTGGCATTGGGTGATTTCAGTTATATATCAGGAAATGTCATTGTCATGAAGTGATTGTTCTAAAATATTCTTGAATAGATTGAAGGAACCTGGAGATCGCTTCATACCTGGGAAATCAAAAGTAATCCCTTTCCAGAGATTAGCCATGGTGGTACTCATAAAGTGTAAGGAGGGAAAGAAAGGTGCTCTATGTGAGACCATTGAAACAGCTTACTTCTGAGACAGGTAGGGTATTGCTTCCCTACCACAATTTCCTCATGAATGGAAGGGTTAACATAACATCACATCAGTCAAGGTGTGATGTTATGTTGACATCCTACACCCTAGACATCCTACATTATGGTGGTTTTTCCAGATCATATCCCACTGCCCGTATATCTACCTAGAAATACAGCTCTTCTGCAGAGGTGGCCAAGTGACTGCCACCAGTGAGGCTGCTGTGGCTATTAGAAGCCATCTCTTCTATTGGTGAGGCCTACGTAATTGGCATGGCTACACTGATCCTTTTCTTGTGATTTCTTGTAGGTGATTGAGTGCATCACTCAGGGTAGAGTGCTGCAGCGACCTCGCACATGCCCCAAGGAAGTATATGAGTTGATGCTGGGCTGTTGGCAAAGGGAACCTCACATGAGGCTCAACATCAAAGAAATCTATTCCCTCCTCCAGGACTTGGCTAAGGCATCTCCAGTTTACCTGGATATTTTAGGCTAAAACATCCTAGCATTTCTTCTTATGGTCTGTATGAATGTGTATGAAAGTGTTCAACTGCCACTGAACTCCATTAAAAAGTGTTCTTAACTTTGACAGTATTAACGACAAAGATATAGAGAAGCTTTCAAAGGACAAACAATGTGCACTTCTCCATCTGTAGACACAGTTTTGACTTTTTAGATATTACTGAAACATATCTTCACTCTCTCTTTCAGTTTCTATCCTTTTCCCTCTCTCTAATCAATTTGGCTTCTGCATTATTGTAACTCTGCATAGACAAAGGCCTTAAAAACCTGATCTGTTATATCAGCAGACTCTTCAGTTTGCCCACCACAACTAACAATGCCTTGTTGTATTCATACCTTTGATATGGATGAAAAAAGGGAAAAATACATTTGACTTTAACTTTGTGATTTCTGCTGTACAGATGCTCTTTGTATTCACCTCATTTTTTTTTTTTGCTTCAGCATGTAGGTGGAAAAAGACTAATGTTCTCTACATGAAGCATATTTTTTGCAGAGACAAAGCTAGATGGAATGAAAACAGTACTTATGTGATCCACTATCTGAAGGAACTGTGGGATCAGATGGCATCCAACCCCATTAAAAAAAACACTGAAACAATTTGATGGAAGTCAAAAGGTGGTTTAGCACTTTCCTTGGACAGTCTTTCTGAGGAGTAAAGGGATTTTTCAAAAAGGTGCATGGCCAGCACTTTTCATTGCCAGATACAATTCTATGGTAAAACAGAAAAAGATATTGTCTGTACTGCACATAGTTATGTTACAAAATTATGAACAAAACACATGTCCATATTTTGTCTTCTGGTAGGATACCGGCATGCCACTGGAATAAAAATGTTCTCCAGCTAGTCTTTGGTAATAAAGGTTGAAGCTAAGCTTATTAATGTACAGGATTAATTTCAGGATCAAGTGTTTAAACTAGGGATTTTGTTAAGATAGGGCAAGCTATAGATGCTGGGGCAGGTGTATCTTATACGGTGCTTGTCCAGCAGCATATTCCTTCCTTCCTCAATGCTTTTTTTTAACTGTGCAAGCAAAACTGTGCATGGTCTTTGTTGATTAATGCCCTTTGTGGAGAAATTAATCTTTCACCTTGTATTACACCCTTGTACTATCTCATATATATATATAAAAACCTCATATACCTAACTCATAATAGCATAACTTGTATTTCATTAGAAGGGGCTAATGGAGGACACATTTACAATGCTACAGATACAATAGACTGATATTGCATGAATAACCTAAAGCACAGACATCACTGGCTATGTTTGAGCCATGGTGGGAGATAGAGTGAGATCTTTGGACAAAATAAATAAGACTCTGAGATTATGGCTTACTATTCGGAGTGCAAAAACCCTGAATTCAGCACCATATTTGTGTTGATGCTTGTGCTGTCATTCCCAACATTCACTTTTTAAAAAATTATTTGGTTTTGATTGGATGGGCATTATACATGTACAGCATTTGCATGGCCACTGCATTGATGACAAATGCATGGGTATATCTGTTGTTTTTCAAACTGGAAGTTGAAGATTTCAAATTTAGAGGTAGGATTATTTTTAATATGAATTCTTACAAATTAAAACCTACCTAGTCCTCAAGACTTTTGCCTCCCTCTGTGAGGGGGAATTGCTGCAAAAAAAGTGATCTTTCTTTTCTTTTTCTCTTTTTTTTTTTTTTTTTTCTTATTGACATGAGCCAGATCAAAATAGTCCTTCATTTTTGTGTTGGGAGTACTGTATGTAATAAATTAAGCATTTTATTTTTGCAAGTGTTCCCATAATATTCTTAATATATAATTTGCTTGCATATATTATTTATTGAGGCACTTTAGGTTTTTCCTTCAGAAACTTTTAGAAATAGCTCATATTTTGAACATTTTCAGAAGAAAACAGTTCACTGGACAGTGGAGTTTTACCCTTCTCAATGTCGTTGAAAAGGCACCATTACAAATAAACATGAGAATATAACTATAAAGCCATACTCATTTTTTCTTTAATAAACTAGATGTTATTTCTTAACCAGTACTGAACTGGAAACACACAAAAAGTCTAAGGAAGATTCCTACAAAATCGGCCTTAAAATTTTACTAGACTGTCTTAGAAGTTCATATAGAAAGTTAGATAAAGATTGAGTATCCAGTGCAACTTATTCACTTGAGAATCTGATTTTTATGTTTAAAAGGAATTTGCAAATAATTTTCAACATAACAGCAGTGGAGAAGGAAGGTGTCAGAGTCTGCTGATACTGTGCAGTGGGAAAGGGTTGCAGGTGGTGGAAGGGGAGGTGTTAAGCTTCTACCTGCTGTATTCCATCTCAGTTTCTTATGAGCTTAAGTAAAAGGCATCTGAGATGCTTCTGTTACAACACACCCTCCAGCCTGAAAGCAAACACGTGGGTTTTTTTTCTTTTTATATTTATTTGTCTATGTTTGTGAAATCCAACTTTTTAAACTTGTGTGCAGCAGAGGAAGTGCTAAAATGCCAGAGGTATAACAAAAAAGCACTTTTTTTCCCCAAATGACCGCTTAAAAACATTTTTTCCATTCCCCATCTCACTTGCTAATTTCTCACACGAAAATGAACTAAGCGCCAAAAGCAGATTGATTTACTGTCATTTCTGGGTTTGTGCTATTGCTTTTTTATCATCCTAGAATAACAGTCCAGCTTCATTAGCATTTTATAATTATCTGCAGTAATTAAATCATTCCAAGACTATTCAGACTGCAGCACTACTTGCAGGACAATGGTGAGAATGCCAAAATTCAGCAGTAATAATAGCAACATTTGTGCACTCCCCCCACACCTTTTTGAGAGATTGTTTCTGTTGTGGCTAATATAGACTTTTACAAAACACTTTGAAAAGAAAAGAAATAACCCAATGAAATGATCGGGTCACTGGATGACTAAGATACAATGGGATGTTAAAACAAGACTATCTCTGGGTTGTTGCAGCCTGTAAATTAATTCAAATGCTGCTATAAAATGTGAGAGAGGGGAGTGGGGAAGGGCAGGGGAACAGATAAGGGTTTCTTAAAAAACATGAATGTTTTGATAGCACAGGAAGTTGTATTTTCTTGTTGTCGGGACTGGGATGAACCAGTGCTGCTTTGAATCAAGAGCCTTAGTTAAAAAACTTGTGGGTTGTTTTTTTGTGGGAGGAGGGTGTTATTATAATTAATCACAAATATGAAGCAAAAATAAAAAGTGTACATGTTTCAGAAAAAAACACTGTGAATTTCACAATAGCAACGAAGTGACTATTTTGCCATCTTGTAAACATATATCTCAGGAGAAGGAAAAGGAAATGCTGAGTACATTATTTTACCGTCTATGCATTCTAGACCAGGTCTATAGGGGGTTTTTTTGTTTGCTTGTAGAAGGCTCTGAGTGACAACCAGTATTTTATAAACACTGAATACTTTGGGCAAGGATAATAGAAGCTGCTAGTAGTGGGGCTGTTTGATATAAATATGTAAGAACACAGAGATCAAATCAAATCTTTAGAGGCCTATATCTTGCAGCTTATATGTATCATTCTGTAACTTAAAGAAAAGCAGCTAAGAATGTTTTATATACAAGTAATTTAATTCAACGCTGATGTTTAATTACATCATCAATAGAGAGAATCAATTAATTATTAAATATTTGCCCCAGCCCTGCTCTCCACCTATACTTCATGTGTATGATTCTATTATTCTATATGCATATATTTCTAGATCTCTCTCACTTTGTCACTTGAGATAGAGAGAAAGAGATATCTACATATAAATATAGATCTCCATATTGTCACCAAACTGACCTGGTGTGTCATGCTATTTTTCTGCTTTCTTTTTTCTTTTTCTTTTCTTAATGTGATGTCTCTGTGCAAATATTTAGTGGTCCTTGTTTTGCAGCTTGCTATAGCAAGGCTGATTTTGAAGTGATGCCTACATATCAGTGTTAAAAATTTTGTTTGTGAATCGTGTGACCAGCTTCTCTTGACATGACATGGAGAGTCTCTTGTGTTATAGTGTATTTAATAAAAATGATGTCTTACAATAAACAGTGTCATTCAAAAGAAAGATACAATGATTACTTTAAAAGACATAAAATTTTCATGAAGTGCTGTGTGCTATTTTCTTTTTTTTAATGTCTTTTTTTACCTCTATTCCTTTTGAAAAGGATGAAATTAAGATATAGTTTAGAAGCATGATATATTTGCATTCTAAAACCCTGAATAAAAACAGATCACTAGGGGAGAAAATAAGAGTTCCATAATAATAATAGGAAAAAAATATCCAATGAGAATATCCATTATATCCATTGGAATATCCAATGAGGAACCTTATGAAATTCAACAAGAGCAAGTGTAGGGTCCTGCATCTGGGGAGGAATAACCCCATGCATCAGTACAGGTTGGGGCTGACCTCCTGGAGAGCAGCCCTGTGGAAAGGGACCTGGGAGTCCTGGTGGACAACAGGATGACCATGAGCCAGCAATGTGCCCTGGCGGCCAAGAAGGCCAATGGCATCCTGAGGTGCATCAAGAAGAGTGTGGCCAGCAGGTCGAGGGAGGTCCTCCTCCCCCTCTACTCTGCCCTGGTGAGGCCGCATCTGGAGTACTGCGTCCAGTTCTGGGCTCCCCAGTTCAAGAAGGACAGGGATCTGCTGGAGAGGGTCCAGCAAAGGGCTACAAAGATGATTAGGGGATTGGAACATCTCTCTTATGAGGAAAAGCTGAGGGAATTGGGGCTTTTGAGTCTAGAGAAGAGAAGATTGAGGGGGGATCTTATCAATGCTTACAAATACTTAAAGGGAGGGTGCCAGGGGGATGGGAGCAGTCTTTTTTCAGTGGTGCCCAGTGATAGGACAAGAGGTAATGGGCACAAACTTGAAGTTCCATCTAAACATGAGGAGGAACTTTCTTACTTTGAGGGTGGCAGAGCACTGGAACAGGCTGCCCAGAGAGGTTGTGGAGTCTCCCATACTGGAGAC